AATAGCTCTACAGTAAGCTGTGAGATGTCTTTACTATACAGGCTATTAGAGGCTTTACCTAGATGTGAATTTCAGGTTTATAACAACAAAGTTTTTAGGTAAAATGTGATTGTAGAGAAAAGCTTGAAAACCATGGCTAAAATTCTTCCCAAAAGCTCAGAAGCCAGACAGCCATGAAGAATTCCACACTTCTGCAAACATTTAAATATCAGGATTTATGAAAACTTGACAGTACTGTTTCAGAATACAACAACATTTTGGAGGTATTTTATAAATATTTGCAATCCTAGTCTATACACTGTCACAGATGTAAATACAATCTTCAAGAAGTAACATTCTCTCCAATGTTTTATCCCAAACAAAGGGAAAAAAACTGTAAATAAGCCATTGCCTTTATTTTTTCTCCCTCTAAATAAAAGCAGACATTTCTTTTGTTCTGCTGTGACGCTGTGGTTAAGGTAAAGAGAAACATATCCCTAAACTGTGCCTAGCTCACCGAGTATTAATGCTGTAGGGCCATTTCTAGCACTATAGACTCTAAATTGCTCCAATCTCAGGATAAAATAGTTTGCCTTTTTGCATACAATAAGTGAACTGTTACAGAAGCATCCTGTGTGTATCAATGGTTTGATAATCTAGCACAGGGAAAAAATGCATTGTTCATTTGTGGGCTTGTTTGGCATGCCTGCTGTGTAAAGGTGGAAAAAGACCTATTTCTTCCTGTATCAGTTACTTTTTCCTTATCAAAGTAGGAAAATAATTCAGTCGGAGAATAGTGCCAAGCCATTTATTTTAGAGAAATCTGTTTTATAGCATAGATTTCAGTTTAAAAAAAAAATATTCAGGGAAATCAAAAATTACTCTCCTGCCTTGTAGTATTCAAAGTGTGGTATTTATTCAGGGCTGTGCTAGTATTATCTTCTATTACAGAGGCAAAGCTCTTGGAGTAACATTTCCAGAGAACTCTCCAGATTTGACCTGGTCAGGCTTTGTTCTGACGAGTGAACGGGTAGGCACGTGTGCCTCATCGTGCAGGAAAACTGTCTGCTTGGAATACTGTACACAGCCAGGCTATTTCTGAGAGGATTTAAATAGGGATGGTGCAAACCCAGCTCTTTAGATGTCATTTTCCAATAACATGTTGAATGGAAAGAGCCTGGTTGCCTAGGTAACAGGCCAGAGTCACTTGGCAAGATTTGTTGTAGTTAATGAAATGATAAAAGGGAAAGGATGATGAATCCGATTGTTTTAAACTCTTAGGAGTAAGCCACCATGAATATGGGGATGGGGAAAGCATATGTTTAAGTCTGGCTGGGAAGCTGAGGAAGTAAAATCTAGAATGGTGAGGAAATACACTCTGAGTGGCTTCGGTAACAATGCCTGGAGTGTCAGATGTGCTTGGGAATGTTGTTTTGGCTGGTTTGGGGGTATTTTTGCAAGCAGCCCTGGCCAGTTGGGGTGGATGGAAGGTGCAGTTGCAAGAGACATCTGGGGGTCAAGGGGTGGTTACTGGCTGTGAGGCTGTGGAGAAGCTTCCAGAAGGAGGTGGGCTGCCCACATGGACAACAGCCAATTGTCGGGTGCTGCCTGTATGAATGAACCAATCAGCTGGGTGTTGTCAACCCTGTGGCAGAGGGCGGGAAGACTCGCTAGGAGTGCTGCATGCCCTGAGGAGAGACCCGGGGGCACCGGTCTGTCTGGCTTCTCCCTCAGACTTGGGAGGTTGTACAACTCATAAATCTAAGATTAAAGTGTATCTGAGTCGATCAAGGCCCCACGCTGTCAGTTTGGTTTTGAACAGCGAGATCAAAGCGTGGCCAAGAGCAGATGCATGGATGTGCAGTACTTTAGAAAAGAAATGTGGTAGGAAATGGCTGTTTGGAGATTAGCTCTTGTTCAGACTCATTGAAGCAGTAGTGTAGCTTTAGAAATATATTCTTTAACATTGACGAGTAAGCTTTATACTGTCCCATTGCAGACTAGTTTAAAGGAATGTCCCGGTGTGGTTCAGGCCTACCCCATGTGACAAGGTGGAGGCTTGCTTTCTCACTTCAAGAGAAGTGGGTAGCAGCAGTGAATTTGAAAAATGGATGCTATAAGTAGCATTTGGAGTTCTAGCTTGCCAGTAACTGTAGGTAATCTCTTGTGCATATTGGGTGATCTGAAATTCATGGCACATGTGAAACAATTAAGAAGGCTGAGTGAAGCAAAAGGAGGTTACAGAACCTTTTCTTAACTCAGATCTATTGATCTGGCTACTAATGAAAGTTAAAACCACTTGTAAAAATACTACTCTTACTAAAGATATTGAAGACCACGTTTTCTGCTCTGTAGATAAATGAGGAAACAACTATAACTGTGTCCTAGTTTTAGCAAATACTGATTTTTCTGCTTGCTTAGCTTGTAAAAAATGTGCTGCTTCATAGTGTTCAGTGAATGGTTCCTCACTTGAAGAAAGTGAGGGAAGATCAATGAAGAAAGTCCTATTGTGCAAAGTATTAGCATCTCAATGAAGAATTGAGCTCCTGTAGTCAGGCAATTTCCAAGTGGGGAGCAGTTCTGTAACACTTTCTTCTCTACCTCCTGCATTAAATAAGGAATAAAATATATGCATCCTATAAAGAGTTTCCATGGAGCTGGATTGTTTTAATTGGATTTTCATAATTTTTGCTTTTTACTTATTCATGTGAGAGTATATGGTGCTGACAATGAATAAAGTTTGTGTGCAAAGTTTGCAGAGTTACTTTCTTCATGCAGTTGAACTTGGGAATTGGAAGCAGCCATGGATGAATTTTAGTCTTCTGTACAGTTATGAAGGCTGGGCAAGGAATATATTTCTTCTGGTTCTGTCCAGTACAAACTCACCTTTAAAATGAGAAGAAAAAAAGGAAATGGTCTGTTCACTTATGGATATCACATGAGTCTTCTAAAAATAGCACAGATTATTTTAAGTAATTCAGTATTTCAGATATATGTTCTTTTCTCACTGAAGGACATTCAACTGTATTAGAGACTTTTCTGCTAAATAAACAAGGAGCTCTTCAGGTTTCTCATAAAATAGACCAACCCATTTTGCTCCATTACTAGGCTTTTTTCCTTCTGTTGAAATATCTGGTCTGCCTTTAGGGCTCCAGTGCAGAGTGGAAAGTTGGGTTCTGTTTCACTTATGTACTCCTATTCCTGGGTTATACTCCTTACTGGAAAGGCTTCATCTAAAATGGGTGCGAAGGGAAGGCATTCACAACATGAAGCAAAGAACAAGAGGTGTGAAGATGTGTAAAGACCTGACAGAAATACTTATTAATTGCTGTATACTAAAGTAAGGCTTGTCACGCTTTGAGCATGAGATACTGCTATCTGGTTTGTGTTTTCTAGGAAGTCTTTCCATATAGAGCCTCTATTTTGGTGGTCAAGTAGGAAGCAGCTCATGAAGTAAGCTCTTTGGCACTGCAAGTCTAGAATCCGCCACGCAGCTCCTAGGGTTATATTTCAAAATACATTAATAGGACATAACTGCTTTATTAATAAAGTATTAAGGATGTATGTTTCTTCGTAATCAAGAGACTCTGCATGGAGTTTCAAGAATGAGGTTGGTTGCATAGATCCTCAATACAGGTTTGGAACTGTCTGTGCTGGTGATGAGACTGATCTTATGAAGGACTAGCACAGTTTGGAGAAAATGTGTCTCTGACATTTGAGTTTGTGGTGTTGAGTCAAACTGTCTGAAAAAAAAATAAATCTGGTCACATACTGTCTCTAACAATTTTGCAATCTCTCTGCATTACTATACCTCAGGTGTGTTTTATTTACTGGCCCAAAATAATCAACCTCTGTGCACAAGTCTCATTATAAAGACATCAAAATTAAGTCTCGCTGCAAGAACATTGCATTTTATAATGCTCAGTGTGGTTTCTCAATGGATTAATTAACATAACTCTTAATAAGACAACTTTTATGATCTTCAAATTGAAATTTAAATGAATAATGATATATTTTTTAATACTAATCAGTTAATATGTGTACCAGTTTATGCATCATTAAAACTATAAAAAGTATTTGCATGGAGTATATTTCCCTTTAAGTGTGGTACACTAAAATACTTTCTCTTTTCTATTTCTGAGACTTTAGTATTACAGAAAATACTGAAAATATATTTTCTAAATAAGCCTCTCGGTAAGCAGTGTCATCTGCTACACTTCAAGTGTTTGTGCACCTCCTTTTATCACACAACAGCTTATCACTACTGTGAATTAGCAAATTGCTGCAGGATAGGAATACAATGGGTATGTGCGTAGGAGCAGCCATTGCACTGCTGGCTTCCAGCCTTGATTACCTTATTGTAATTTGTGTTCAATACAATTTTCAAATGTGCTGTGGAAGAGGGCAAGCCCCAGCATAATTAGAGATTGGATCAGAATGCAAATGCAAAATCCCTAGTTGAGAATGCCTGTGTAAAATTCAGTATTTATTACAATTTGGTGTTGCTTTGACATAATTTTTGTTTGCTTTGTCTTGCTGGTTTTGAACTTACTCATTTTCATTTCAGTTTTCATTTCTTTGAGTTGTCAGAAAAGAGTAAACTGGGTGTTAGATTTTTTCATGGTATTTTTCAATTATGAATGGTTTTGAGGTCCCTGCTAAAAGCGTAGTATTGAATCTGCAAAGGTAATATATACCTATTTTAATGCTATTGATAAGCACTTAAAAGGCATCATTACAGTGAATCTGCTTTAGCCTTTTGTCAGATGTATTTTTATGTAATATTGTGTACTACTTTTTGAAATACTGATGCCTTTTAAATCATTTGTTTTCCTTTTAAAGGAGAAAGGGAGGGAAAACCAAAAAGAACTAAACATATTTGGGGTAGCTTCCTCCTTGAAAGACTGCTTCTTGTGGCTCTTAAAAAAAAAAAAAAAGACGCGGGGGGGGGGGGGCATGACAAGAGAATAAACCCCATGCGTGCAGTCCTTAATATGCTAACCCTCTCATTTTTTTTGCAGGAAATCCTGGCTGAGTAAAGTCGGAAGCCCAAGTTCTCGCATAGATCGAACAAACTTTTCCAATGAAAAGGAGATTTCCAAGCTTGAATTCTCAGGATTTAGCACTAGATACTAATAAAAGAAAACATCACTAAGCACAAAACTATGATGTTTCTGCTGTGTGGTATTTTCTGTGCCTCCATAAAATGTCACAAGAGCATTTGGATGCTTTCTATACTAGAGATAAATATTAATAACCCCTGTTCATATGAAGTAAGAATTCTTAGTTGATATATTAGGCACTTTACACCATGAATGTCAATATCTAGTATCTAAAATGCTGATAGCTAAGTTATTGTATTTTGAAAGCTAGATTGAATGGTTAAGTGTCAGTGATTATTTGTGCACAACAAGACTTGTTATATATTACCATATGGCACCTAATCTTTACACTGTGATTCATGTTTTAGATGCAAAATAATAAATTTATGTTCTGCTGTTTGTAATCTCACCAAAAATACTTAACTGCTGAGCTGGAACAGAGACCTATTGTAACAGTTCTGTATTATAGATCATGTTATTTATAATAATTGGTTAAGATATAGTGATAATTTAAAATAAATGTATATTGCCTCAAATTAAGATTATCTAACCAGCTGTGGTTTAAAATTCTCTATAATAATGCAGATAAGCCTTAGAACAAGGTGATGAAACGTGTGGCCTCTCAGCCCTTTTTCCTTGTCTACCTACAGCTGACATCCATACTGACTACAAAGAATGTTTTGATGGTTTTGCTTTTTTGACATTCTTACTAAAATGTAAGTCTTCAGTTATTTTCCTTATGGATATGTATTTGCTCCTTAGTTAGGAATGTATGTTGGAACCTCATTCAACATGATGCACCCACATATCTCATATTGAGTATGTGAAAGGTCCTGAGAAACTTTAGTTTTGTGCTTGCAATAAATATTGGATAAGTCTTCGCAGTAGTGGATCTAGTTCTCATCTATAGTGCTCTTTTCACAGGCACCAAGGAGTCTGTCAGGCTTGGAGCAGACCTATATCCTCACTTCTGAAGTACTTCTCTGTCAGGATTAGTACAGACTGGAAGACTTTGGTTAGATCTGATATATCCAAGCAGGCACCTGAGTGATCTGGCAATACTCAGTTAATCAAGGCTGGTGCCATCATGCTGTGATGGAGGCTCATGCTGTAAGTCCCCGAGAAGTCTGTAGTACAGTAAAGCGCAGTAATGCTGCAGTAATGTGGTCACAGGGCCTCAGGCTGGCTCCGAGCATGGGCTGAGCCTGCTGTTGTCTGCCTGGGCTTTATCCTCTAAGGTGCCCTTCATGATGATACTTAAGCTGGTATTGCCACTGGCTGGTCTGTACCTCTTCTAAGGGTAGGTAGTGTCAATTTAGGCAACATCATCAAATTTGCAGTTCACTTTTTTAATTTCAGGAAAGGACATCTCATAACTTAAGCATTGTGCTTTTTCATCTGCACAGAACAAGGTATGTGTAGAAGGGCATTTCTACTGACTACTAGATTTATTTTCACTGAGCCTTTGTGCATTAAACAGTAAAATCTCCTTTCTAGAATTTGCAGGAGTTATTTATAAATACTGTTATAGTTCAAACTGTGCTTGACTGTGATTATACACAAGCATCCTTTGTTGAAGTCATTGTCAATAACTCTTGTTCAACTCAAATGGTAAATGGCAAAGTTCAAAAGTAGTGGTAGCGCAATAGCTGTTCCATCCTCTCCGAAAATTGTATCCTGCCGAACATAAGTAGTTTACATCTTCCTTGAAGCTACCTGGCAGAAGATAGTCCCTCAAAGGCGTTTCCAGCCAAGTTGCTTTGCTCATGTTTTAAGCAACAATGATACAGGAAGGCAGAAAACAAATGGGACATTAGATACACAGGAAGAGGAGTCAAAGATGAAATTGTTCTTTTGTGTTGGCATGGGTGGAGCTGGATGCTCACAAGGACTCAGTAATCTTACCCTAACTCCATTAGAAATGCAAGGCTTGAAGAGTGGGAAGCAGCCATTTAAAGTGCTTTTGGGGGTAGAAAACTTTGAGAAAGTTGAAAGATGAAGAAAGCTGTATGTAACTTTCTCACATATTGAAAACAAAAAATACTTGAAGTTTTGATGAGCCTTACACTAAGGATTTTAGAATGCTTTTCCTGGCCAAGAAGTGTTTTGGCAGAAGCTACTTCTAATATGGTATTAAGCAAATATAATTCCTGTAATCTGTGGCCTGTACACCGTAGGCCAGATCTCTTGCTGAGTCTGTCACATGGGTTGGTTTTTTTTCCCCCCTATATCTGTGCAATAACACTCAGCCTCTGCTTTTGTGCTCATTTTGAGCCTATCTGATGAAAAGGTTGATTCTGGAATACATCTATAACCTTCCTCTTTGATGTTTTCTATTTTCAGCATCCACTTCCCTCACCAGTGATATGACAAGAGGCAAAAAATACATGCAAGTTTTCTGAGCTTAGGTGTGGGGGTTTTTTACACTGGAAACTGAAATACATTATGACACAACACACAGTACATGTATTTAACAGTTTTCTAATGGTGTGAGATAAATTGCACTTAGTATGCTTTTCATTCTTAGAGAAGTTAAAATTTTACTGAGCAAATAAGCATTACAGGTGTGTGACTGTTTCCCAGAAGCCCTGGGCAGGGGTTTCGGAGGAAGAGAAGGGAATAAAATACTGCATTCCATACCTTCAAAGTTTTGAGAAGTCTTAGCCAGGTGTACTTCCGGAATATACCAATATAGAGTTTTCTGAAGTGAATGGAATTCCGAGGGGCAAAGGGGTCTCTTCCATTATGCTTCCTCATTCTAGCTGAATGGCCCAAGGTAGTGTAAGGGTAATAAAAATATATATATAACATAGGAAAAAAAAAAGTCTCTCCCTCTGAATTGAGAGTTTACTGAGGCCAAAGCCTCTCTGTTATCAAGCAGAGGAATTAATACTTGAGTTACTGAGTGCTGCAGGCATCCTGATGCATGGCCATGGGGAGATGCCCTTACGGACATCTTAGGCTCTTTTTATGTTGCATTGAAATCAAACTTTAGCGCATCGTATCTGTTCTTAACTGTTATTGCATAGCCATGTGTTATTCATGTAAATGCCTGCAGTACTGTTAGGATCCTGTATTTGTCAAGGCATATAGCCAGCTTGAAGTAACTTGTTTTATGCACAGGGAAATGTTTGATTTGCACAAAGTGGCACCTGCCTTGTGGGTAAATACAAACTTGTAGGACTCTTGCCCAGGTGATCATTGGCAGTAAGCAAACAATCCTGCATCTCCTTGGGGATATGCTGCACACAGAATGGAGGCTTGTAGTGACTGCAAGAAAGACTAAACTAAAGTTTGTAAGTAGCTTACATGAGATGGTGTTCTGGAAAGCATGTTGAAAAGAAGTAGTCCAGAAGACAGTGTGTCATTGTTGCTGTCCTGAAGAGGCTATTATAAGCGAACAGATACCAGTTTGTTTTTTATAACTCGGGTGACTTTTTCCGAGGCAGATATTTGAAGACTATTCAAAGTAACTTCTGTTCTCTGTCTGAAAGATCCTTCAGATTGAGGCAGGATGCAGTCCTGCAGTCTGAGCAGGTCAAGACTTAATGGTGAGCCTGTGACATGGCAGGAGATGGTGGTAACTTCTATCTGTCAGCTTCCTGGGTGATGGGCCAGTGAATTCAGGGGTTCTGAGTTGGATGAAGAGCTTGTCAGAGGGACTTGGATGAGTCTGGGCAAGGCACCTTCCCAATTGGGGAGATTTAAGCTCTCTGTAGAATTTGGTTGCTTAGAAATATTTTACTATGCTGCAAGTCATGTGTTGCTGTGTTACTGCAACTAACAAAGTGGTGTCTTGGACAGCATGCATTAATATTCTCATTTTATTTAATCTTCAGATTCTGTTAAAGCATTATGAGTCCAAAATCTTCCAATCTGTGGAAATAACAGCGTGTGCAGAACATCAGAGCAGTATCTCTAGATTTAACGAAAACATGATTTTGAGGAGCCAAAGAATTTCAATGGTAAGATAGGAAAAAAAGGCAAGAACAGTTGGCTAATTAGACATCAAAACTAAGTTGACACCTTTCCCCTTTTCTACTACATGCTGATATTACTCAGTTATAGCTGCAGATATCCTTTAATTTTATTTTGACTTTTTTAAAAAATGCAACAGAGCAAGAACAAATGATGTGTAGGCCAGCTCCATTCTTGCTGTAAGTGAAAATAGTTTCTACCTATCTAAAAAGGTCTGAGACTTCTGAAAGTCTGTTCCTACTATTTCCAGCTTATTTGTGAATTCTGGACAATGCGACTTCCTTGAAGGAAAAAATCTTGTGCCTGACTTGTATTCTACTGTAACTTAAGAAAGATCACATGAAATGTTAAGACCAGACATGTTAGTTAAAACTGGAGCTTAACTCCTAAATGGCCAGACAATTTCAAAATTTGATGGCTTTTTTATTTGATAAAAGAATAAAAAAACCTTCCCTAAGCAGTGAATGGGATGAGAGCATTCTGCATCATCAGGAATGATGTAATCTTGTATGACGCTGTTTAGTCTCAATACTTAGAATGTTGTAATGCAGAGTAGGAATGTTCTGCTATACCTACTCATTCTTAAGCCTTCATATGGAGAAAAGCATGATTGTATCTCCTGCCATACTTTCTCTTAGGTGACACCAATCTGTCACTTTTTATTTTCTTGATATCCTCTGGAGCTGCCTTTCTTTTGGCTTGCTTTCTTAGAAAACTGTATGCATGTTTGCTGCTGAAATCCTCTTACTAGACAGAATGAACTGGATTAGTCAAGAGAGCTTACTGATTAATGCATAGCTGCATACTACTACCTGCTGAAAGTACTCTCATTAGAAGGGAGTGTTGTCATGAAAGACGATGAGAGCAAAAATTGGTGTATGCTATGGTCTTTTTAAAAGGTCTGTTTATATACTGGCAATACTGTAGATCGGAATTTCTGTGTATTGTTTGTTCTTCAAGGCTCTTCATGGTATCTTGTGTAGTAGATATAAGTACTAGTATTAAAGAGTCAGAAGTTATTTCTGTATCAAAACCAACACGCTCTGCACAGACTTA